ATCCTGTCACTCACGATGTTGTACTTCAAGATGGATCTAGAAATTACTTTTTTTACTATAAAGGCAACCCCATTTTTCCTTGTCTTATCATCTCCAGAGTAATATTTGAGTCGGATGCAATTAATAGCTTCTGAAAACCCGCTAGAGGGTCAGCTGTGAGCTGGCTCTGATTCCACAGCACGTAACAACATTGCTTTCTATTAGCAGGAGAGTGGACTGTGGTGGTTAGGAATGCACATTCTATGGTCAAATGGCCAAGATTTGACTGTGGCTCTGCCACTTGACAGTTGGGAGATCCTGAGGAAGTGATTTAACTTCTCAAATCCTCAGTTTCCTCCTTTATGAAATCAGCATGCTGACCACAGCCCCTAGTTGGTGTGGCTTTTGTGAGGACCAGGTGACGCACATGCAAAGCACTCAGCAGGGTGAGGCACGATGTAAGAGCACAGCCAGTGAACAGGTACAAGTGAGAAGCTGCTGGCTGGAAGGGACTTCCAGGGGTGCTGTGGTTAAGCTCTCAGTTCTAACTGAAGGGTTGGTGGTTTAGAGCCCCCCAGAAATCAGTGAAGGAAAGGCCATCTTGTGTAGGTCTAAGCAAGCCCTGTGGAGTGGGCCTTGGAGCCCTCTGTGTGGGAGCCCCCCAGCAGCACAAGTAACAACTTCAGCAGAGATTCACAGTCAGGTCCTGTTGATCTAACTGGGAGGGACCTGAGTGACTGGGGCTTGGGTTTTGATACAGATTAACTGCTTGGCTACTTTCTTTTTAAGAGATTCTTTTATTTTTGTGTAAAAATATTGTGTTTTTCTGCTGAGATTTGTCATTTTCAGGCACTAGTGATTTGTCGAAAGGAGAGAACTGAGGGGAGAATGCTGTAATGGACTGTCTAGAGCCTGCTCACAGCCCTGGAAGTACGTTCTGGAGATTAGCTGGATAGCCAGTAGATGAGCTCACCATCAGCTGGCCCCTGGCTGGGCCACCAGCCCACTGCACTCATGCCCTCACATCAGGACTGACGCCTGGCGACCCCCAGCTGTAAATCTTAGCAGCTGGGAGGTTGGAACTGCTGCTGACTTGTTGGTTAACAGACAGCTTGCTGCACACTCCCAGCTAGTGGAGAGTTTCAGGAAGCAGTGTGTTCAGACCGTAGAGTCAAGGTTTATACTTAATTAAAGGTTGGAACAACAGACCTGAGGCTATTAAATAGCTGAAATATTTTATATGAAAGTAAGGGATTTTTCTTGGAATTCAAAAAGGAAAACGGAACAGAGGGAAAATAAATTCTGAATGTTTCTCTTTCTTTCTCTCTCTCCCCCCAGCTTGTCAATGCCCTAAAAACAGTGTCCACCTTTGAAGTCCAGATTGTGGATTACAAATACAGGTAGGTGCATAGCTGGCTTTCGAACAGCGTCAGCTCCTGCTCGTGTCAGGTGATGTGGGGTAGAACTTGTTGGTTTTCTTGACACTTTACAGACCCCGAGGGCAAACACGTACTCACGTTCAGATTCAGCTCTTCCTCAGCTGTATGGAGCCCGATGTTAGAACACTTTCCAGTTTTTCAAGAAAATAGATATATCTTGATTTTTATTTTAAATATACAAATTTTTAAATGTTAGCAGCTAATTCAGAATTTTAAAAGTGTGTATACTTAAGGCTTAATTGGTCCTCTCAGCAGTGAGGTTTCCATTCCTTCCCTTCATCTATTGATTTATTTATTCATTTGGCAAACATTGATTGATTAGTCACATAATACATTCCATGAACTATGCCAGGTGCTAGGAATATAGTAGGGTACACTATAGAAAAAAAAAAATCCTTGATGCTGAAAGAAAGGGAAATAGTGACTTTATATGTGAAGAAAGGGGCTCTAAGGGAGCTCTGATGGCCTAGTGGCAAGAAGCTGCATTGCAATTCCAGAGGTGTGTGGTTTGAATCCAGTCTCCTGTACCAGTCAGATCCGATTTGATGGTTGTTATTAAGTGCCGTCGAGTCGCAGGCGACTCATAGCGACCCTATGAACGAAAGTCCTGGATACTTCCTGTGTAACTTTCATCCTTTCTCCAGGTTCATAGGGTTTGTGGAGGCAAGCTATTGTGGAAGTGGATGCCACTCCTGCTTCCAAGCTTGTTTTAATCGGGGAGCTCCACCAAACACTGTCCACCATGGGTAACCATTCTCGCATTTGACTCATCAGTGTCACAGTGTTTGGCTTCACAGTAACCACGAGTTAACCTTTGTACAGCAAGTGGACATATCAGGGTTACACGACCTAGAAGAATGTTTTACCAAAAACAATTAAAGGCAGGTCTGAGGGCCGCGGAGTAGAGTCACCCACCTTTGGCTTGGGAGCATGACTTTCTGTCCGCTGCTAGGCCAACTGCTCTCTCTCTATGCTGTTGTTGTTGTTAAGTGACGGTACACGCAAAAAATAATGAAATTTTTTTAAAAAGAAAAAAAACGAAAGAAAGGGGTTCTGGTGAGGTTTCAACTTTTGGCCTAAAATGATCTCAAGCTCTTCACCATCTATCATGCTGTTGCCAGTTGGGCCCAGTGGTGAGAATCTTTTTAAATTTTTTTTTTATATTGGTTTACTTTTTATTTGGTGTTGAGCTTCATATTGAAGGCTGCAGTCCTTGACCTTCTGCAGCAAATGCCTCAGGTCCTCCTCAGTTTCAGCAAGCCGAGTTGCATCATCTGCATAATGAGGTTGTTGATGTGTCTTCCTCCAATCCTGATGCCATATTCCTCCTCATAAAGCCCAGCCTTCTGGATGATCTATTCTGCATGTAGATTGAAAATGGATGGAGATAGAATGCCTCTCTGGCATCATGCCTTTCCTGATTTTGAACCATGCAGTGTTTCCTTGCTCTGTTTTGACTACTTCCTCCTGGTCCAAGTACAGGTTTTGCATAAGCATAGTCAAGTGTTTTGGGATTCCCATTCTTTTCAGAATTAGCAAAAGTGTTACGGTCCACAACAAAAAAGTCAAAGGCTTTTGCATAGTCAGTGAAGCACAGGTAGATATTCTTCTGGTACTTTCTGCTTTCAGCCAAGATCCATCTGACATTGGTGATAATGTCCCTAGTGCCATGGCCTCTTCTAACCCCACCTGTATTTCTGACAGTTCTCTGTTGATATTCTATTATATTCGTTTTTGGATTATTTTCCACAGGATCTTGCTTGCTTGTGATATTCATGAAATTGTTTGATAATTTCCATACTTTGTTGTGTCATCCTTTTTTTTTTTTGGAATGGGAGTGGAGTGGGAATAAATATAGAGGTTGTACTCCAGATTTCTTGGCACAACTTTGTGAGTGTTTTTGGGGCAGTGTCTATTTGTCGAAATATGTCAGTTGGTATGCCATCAATCCCTGGGACCTTGTTTTTTGCCAATTCTTTCAGAGCAGTTGAACTTCCTCCTTCATCACCATAGTGATTCTTAGTCATATGCTGTTTCATGAAATTTTTCTTTGTCAGCCAATTCTTTTTGGTACACTGACTCTGTATACTCCTTTTGTTTTCTTTTAGTGGTTCCTGGGTCATTTAATAGTCTGTCCAAAGCATCCTTAAGCATTGCAACTCAAGGCTTGAATTTGTTCTCCATTTCCTTCAGTTTAAGAAATGTCAAGCGAGTTCAGCCCTTTTGATTTTCAGACTCCAGCTCTTTGCACATTTCATTATAATACTTAGCTTTGTCTTCCTTCATTGCCCTTTGAAATATTCTGTTCAGCTCCTTCACGTCTTGATTTCTTCCCTTTGCTTTGCCTTCTTGCCATTCTAGTGCAATATTCAGAGTCTCTTCTAACACCCTTTTCCTTTTCTTCTTCCTCTGTCTTTGTAATAACCTTTTGCATTCTTCACAGATGATATTCTTGATATCCTCCCACAGCTCATCTGGTCTTGGCTCATTAGTGTTCAAGGCCTCAAACATGTTCCTGATATGGTTTTGAAATTCAGGTGGGCTAGACTCAAGATCAAGCTTTGGTTCCTGTGGATTTGATGTAACCTTCTTTAGCTTTAGTTTGCACTTACATATGAGTAGTTGATGGTCTGTTCCACAATCAACACCTGGCCTAGTTTTCACAGCTGATAGTGAGCTTCTCCAGTGATTCTTTCCACAGCTATTAAAATTTTCTTTTAAGATAAATATATTTGAGAAGTGTTTTTTTGTTTGTTTGTTTAAGATGAGCTGATATCATTACTGAAATTTTGACCTAAGACTTTGTTATTATTGTTATGTGCTGTCAAGTCAGAACCGACTCATAGCTGAACCTCCAGAGGGCTTTCAGAAGCTGCAGATTGCACAGATTTTCTGTCTCCTATGGAGTAGCTGGTGGAGTTGAGCCACCAACTTAAAGGAAAGCAGTTTAAATTAATCAGCTGCTCATAGGAGATAGAAAATTTCCTGTGCAATTTACAGCCTCTGAAAACCCCCTAGAAGTTCGGCTATGAGTTGGTTCTGACCTGACGGCACATAATAATAATAACAAAGTCTTAGGTTAAAATTTCAGTAATGATATCAGCTCAACTTAAACAAACAAACAAACAAACAAACAAAAAACACATCTTAAATATATTTATCTTAAATATAAATAAGCCACCAGAAAAATATTAAAAGTTCATTAAAAATTAAAGTTAGTAAAAAAGTGTAGAAAGCTCAGGCCATGGAGACCTCCCAGAATTTCCTTTTTGCTTCCTTTACTCACTGGCTCTGTGACCTTTCATGATTTCCTACCCTGGGTTTATCTGTGTCTCTGTAAGACTTGTCTTGTATTTTGAGTCAGCTTATGGTGACCCTACAGGTAATAAAGCTTCCGTAAGATTTTGGATGAGAATCCTAGTCCAATCTCAGGCCGCAGACTTCCCAGATCTATGCTGGCTGGATGAGCCCCGGAGAACATTACCCTGAATCGTCGTGGGGCCTTAAGCCAACACCTTCCTCTAGAGTCTTTGTGAAACTAAATGGGGTTTCCACCTTGAGCATTGTGTTCTTTTTGGAAATACCAAAACAGGATCAAATTCATGACATAACTCAAAAGATTAGGTAGGAAACTTAAGGGACACTGAGTTCGCTGACGGGGGAACAGTCTAGAAGACTCAGCTGCACAGCATGAAGAATGTCATGGTGCCAGGTTGAAATTGCAGAATTGGTGTATGTTCTCTTAAGTATAATCTTAATAACCTAAACCCCAAAATAATTGCTTAAAAGATGAGTTGACTTACTAGAAAAAAAATTCAGTTCGTTAAATAATTAACAACTTCAGCTTGGGATTGGGGTAAAAATGATAAAGGTGGAATATAACTTGGGAAATACTCTTTCTGTGGATCATGAGCTCACTTGATAGTTTTCTCTTTCCCTCTCAGTCTCTTGCTTCCTGTCTTTTCACAGGGAACTTGGGTTTTTAGATCAGCTGAGGATCACACACAACACGGACATATTTATCGGAATGCATGGAGCAGGCCTGACCCATTTGCTCTTTCTCCCAGACTGGGCTGCTGTATTCGAGCTGTAAGTGTTTGCTGGTGGTTTTGCGTGGAGACAGCTGATAGTGCTCTTAACTAATTCTGTGTCCTTTGTTCAGAGTGTTGAAAGACTTCATATTCATTTATTACAGGAAGTCACTCTATACATGTCTGGGAGCAAAGAACTAATGCTAACACTTGAAAGTCTGCCATTTGCTTTGACACTTAAAAAGTACCTGCCCCTTTCTCCTTTCCCTCCCATCCTTGTCACAAAAGGGGTGACTGGGACTTCCTGTGTGCCTCAGACTCAAGCACCTGCCTGCCCTCAGGAAGACCTGTGTCTAGAAGGCAGCTGACCTTGAGCACAGCACCTCCTTTCCCCCTTCACATCACCTCCTGCTCAGGGATGCCCTGCCAGGGAGATGAACAGAAGCCAGGCCTGGCAATAGTTTTGGGTGCCATTTATCCCCCCTAGTCATGGAGACCTGGCCTTCCTGGCCTGGATAGCCCTACTCATGCCTTGGGTTCTAGACACACCAGTAGCCATTGCCTTATTTCTCTACTGTGTGTCTAAATATCTTTGTCTTGTGGTTGGTGGGGTTTTTTTTGTTTGTTTTTAAAGCTAGTCAAATTCAGCAGTGGGGGATTGTATACCAACTTTAGTTGCACTAATGTTAATAGTTTTTGATAACCTACTACCATTGGACCAGCCTATGGTTGCATTTTTAAGGTCGTTTGCCTCAGAATTTAAATGGGATAATGTTTAGAAACAGTTTCCTGAGGCTGAAACCACATAGAGGAGATTGTCCATCATCCATGGAGCAGCTGGTGGATTCAGACCGCCAGGGATGCTCAAGGCCTTTGGGTTAGCAGACAGCTCGCCATGGGTGTCCACCAGAGCGCCCTTAAATGATGTTTAGGGGAGTAGATTGCTGAGTCTTCCTCCTCTGGAGCTGCTGCAAGTTTCAAACCACCAGCCTTTAGATTAGCGGCCCAGTCAGTGTTGACTACACCCTTTGGGCATGTGTGTTCTAGCTCTGTCTGTATATCTTCTAGAAGTGAGAAACAGCTAGACAGTTGAGGGTCTTCTTCAGTTCTTTCCTTCTGAGAGAGAGACATTGAGAAAGCTCAGACCTTGGAGCCCAAGGACCGGGTTTCCTTTTTGCATGTTTTGCTCACTGGCTCTGTGGCCTTGCATGGAATTCCTACCCTCAGTCCATCTCTGCACCTGATGTGATGTCTTGTGCGAATGGTGACCCTAAATGTAATAGGGTGGAGGGTCCTGTGGAATTTTCTTTTTATTCTAGAGTTTTATATATAGTTGACAAAAGACAGGCAGGAGAAATTCTTTCAATAGTAGAAGCACTCTTTCAATTTCTAATTTGATTTTCTCCTAACAGTCTTTCTAATTTTTTTAAAAAACTTAGGATTTTATTCTGGTTTACTAACAAATTCTATATACATTGCTTTTCATACCATATCTTTCCCACTTCCTTAACACCCCTTCCTTCAACCCATCAAATTATGCAACCCTATGATTAACCACCCCACCCATCCTCACCCCTGTGCTCCCCCCTTAGATCTTCATACACATTTTACTTGTTTTCTAATTTTATAAAAATGATCTTATACAGTATTTGTCTTTACGGGACTGAGTTCACTTAGCATAATGCTCTCCACTCCCTCCCAACTTAGGTAGTGATTTTCAAAGTCAATGATCGTGCATGCTGTATGCTATTCCATTGTGTGAGTGTACCGTAATTTCTCAGTCCATTTGTGTTTGGACATTTGGGCTGTTTCCATGTTCTTGCGATAGTGAATAATGCTGCTATGAACATTGGTGTACAAGTCTCTGTTTGTGCCTCAGTTCTCATTTTCTCAGGGTATATTCCAAACAGTGGACTAGCTGGATCATATGGAATTTCAATGTTCAGCTTTCTGAGGAAACATCAAACTGTCTTCCAGAATGGTTGTACCATTTTACATTCCCACTAACAGCGTATGAGAGTTCCTGTCTTTCCCGTGGAGTGCTCTTGGCTGTAGTCTTTATAGGAGCAGATCACCAGGTCTCTTACTTTGTGGTGATGCTGGGAGAATTTGCAGCACCACCTTTTGGTTAGCAGTGGAGTGACCCTGCCGTAAGAGGCGGGGCTGGTACCATGAAACCTGTGAGATCTGGAACCTGATGGAACGGCCTTGTTTGGGGGAGTCTCGGGAGCCTCCCACCTTTGATGGGGTGCAGTCCTACCACTTTCCCACTGCCTGTGTTCATGGAAAATATTTGCGTCTCTGGCAAGTTTCCACGTTACACAAGTTCCAGCTTTTGCAGGTTGACTATGTAAGGTAAGTTCACAGTGGATTTTGGATTCTGATAAAGGTCAGCCTTATCCAGTTCTTGATCCTATTCAGTTTTTAAGAAGTTAAGGTTATCTAGTTCTGAGAAGAGTTTTACAGTAATCTTCCTCAGCCTTTTTGTGGTGCTTACTGAACCTTGTCCATGAATATATTTGGGGGTGAGTTTTCCCAAAAGGGTCGTTTTGGGAAACCCTAGCTGGAGGCCTTACCTGGGACCCTCCTATATCCACAGCTACAACTGTGAAGATGAGCGCTGCTACTTAGACCTGGCGAGGCTGAGAGGCATCCACTACATCACCTGGAGAAGGCAAAATAAAGTCTTCCCCCAAGATAAGGTAAGGGTGAATCACAACAGTCACCTTGTTTTGTCTATTAATTGATTTTAAAAGTATCTGTTATGGAAAACAATGATTGCATTTTCATCTCCATGCAGCAAATTGTCACGTTTTCTATGAACAACTTAGGGAGGGGAAGTAAAGGAATAACTCCATCTTCAATGTCAGTGTGACAACTTTGTGAAATCTGGATCCGTAGAGATCTGCTAAGGGTGGTTTAAATGCTGGGCTGCTAACTGAAAGGTCAGTGCTGTAAACCCACCAGCCCCTCTACAGGAGAAGCATGTGACAGTCTACTTCTGTAAAGGTTACAGAACTGGGGCCTGTTCTGATCCATCCCCAGTTGTCCCTGGGAGTTCAGAACCAACTGGATGACAGTGCGCTTGGCTTTCTTTTTCCCTTTGAAAAAAGATTGATTGCAAGGATCAGTAAGCATAGCCCTGAAGGCCAGATTTGACCCACTGCATATATGTAAACAGAGTTTTATTGGAACTCACACGCTCTTCTTTTAGCAGTGCTCTGTGGCTGCTTTTGTAATTGGCGGTTGGCACTGGCAGAGTTGTGTTAGTTGCTACTGTTTACAATGGTTCGAAAAGCAGAATATACTTCTTACTTGGTCCTTTAAAAAGTTTGCTGACTTTTGATATAAAGCATAAAATATTTCCATGGCCAAAGTAAAATTCTTTTCTTCCTGTAAAGAAAACTAGTAACTAAGTACAATGAACGCGTTGCTGTTGATTCGGAACCGACTCAGCTGGCATTCTAGTGGATTTTCAGAGGCTGTAAACCACAAGGGGAGAGATTTCCCATCTTTGTCCTGCAGAGCAGCTGGTGGATTTGAACCCTCTGCTGTTGGGTTGTCAGAGTACCCCTTACCCACTAGGCCCCCAGAGCTCCCCGTAAAGACGAGGGTGTCCTCATATACTTATAAGTTTGTGCTTGGTTTGCTTTCCCAGGGCCACCACCCAACCCTGGGGGAGCACCCGAAGTTCACCAGCTACTCTTTCGACGTGGAAGAATTTATGCGCCTCGTCCTCGAGGCTGCAGACCATGTGTCACGACACCCAAAGTGGCCATTTCAGAAGAAACGGGACGAGCTATGAGTATGGAGTCTGCTTGCCAACGAGAACCTGTGAACCATAACATGCAAACTCACAGTCAGATCTTTAGGGGAAAACTCCAAACAATCCAACACAAATTCCTGTAATGCCCCACCCCCAAATTACCTTTTCTATGCCAAAACATCTTCAAGATAGTACTTGTTTTATAGTCCTTAATTGTTTTGTACCATTGCTATTTATCAAGATAATACTTTGCACTGGAAGCTTTACTTTTCTGTAGTTCAGAAACTAAGTCTAGGTCTGGACTTGCTGCTGTAAAGACGCTTGCGGTGTCCCTGGGCTTGGGCCACCGGACTCAGCCACTCACGGTGTCACCTCCTCTGTGGACCTTGTTCTCCTGTGCCAGGCCACACAGAGTCCTTCGTGACATTGGTTAGCATATAGTCACAGAATAACATGACAAGCACAACTGTAAATTACCCAAATGCCGTATTTCTTAGATTTTGTGAAAGCTAACAACAATATTAGAAAACCTTTCAACACTGAAACCTCATTGTTATTGGCTGGCAGTCGTGATAGCTCTGACCAGCCACATCAGAAAGTCAAATAATAAATTAGCATAGAGTTTTAGCCTTGCGAGTATACTGATAATGTAAGCTGGGCTTACAGAAAATGTTTTTGTTGTTGTACCTAACAACAGGGATCTTTTTATAAAAAGAGTAAATTAATTTTTGCTAAAACACTGCACATCATATACTCAGTCATACTGGTGTCAGCCCTCTGGATGTCACCTGACCGGTCCACCAGCAAAGTTTCCACAACATCAGCTTTAGATTTTTAAATGTTTTTGTGTAAGTCCATGTGATTGTCATCTGGCAACTTGTTTATGCTGCATTTGGGTAAATTCACACCTGTTCTTTTATTTGCCATAATCTATTCATTGGCACCGTGTATAAGGAGGGAAAGTCATGGGGTTTCCATTGTTTCAGTTCTTGGCACCAACCTGGAGGAGTATGCTGTGGGTCAGACGGTGTTAGAAACACCGCTCTGCTTCTGTCACTCACTTCTGTTGAATTCTCCACTATGTCCTTTAATGGACTCTATGTTATGTGCATCAGGAATGGAAACAGACTCTTAATTATGTGCTTATTTTGATGCATATATTATCACTTAGACATTTATCCTGTGCAGCAATCACAGAGGATAAAAACAAACAGATGTTCTATAGGAGTCTTTTCTGTCTCACAGATGATTCTTGTCAAGCCCTTTATACGTACAGTCTGAAGCATATGTGATGAATTTGTGTATCAAATGCACATTTATAATGTGTATCTATCACTGCATATACCTGTGTGTGCTAATCTACCTCTCTGTTAACATGAAATTATTCAATCTTTATTTTTACAAATAGCCAATGAAGAGAATTCCTCCCTGTAAAAAACTAAAGATAGATGTATGTGAATTATCTAATCTAAATTGAAAAAAGAATGAAGCTGTAAGGAAATGCCAGTAATTAAAAAACCATCTGGGATAGAGTCCCATTCTTTTAATGGGTTCCATTTCTGATTGGTTATGAGCTTTTATTTCAGCAGTTGAAACCATGGATGTATTTTATCATGAATTTAAGTGTAAAGTTTACATTTTGTTTACACTTGTATAATCTCAGTCAAACTAAACTTACTGCCATTAAGTCAGTTCAGACTCACTGCAATCTTCCATCAGGTGTAGGGCTGTAAACCTAACAAGAGGAGACTGCCCGTTTTTCTCCTGAGGAACCGCGGTGGATTCAATCCTCTGGAGACACGTAGCCTTTTGGTTAGCAGTGCACTGTGGCTAGGTCTGAATCCTGAGACTCACCCACTGCTGTGCGCACAGACGCACCTCTGACCCTCCTTGGGGCCTCCTAGGCTGTAAATTGTGTGGAGGAGACTCCAGCTGAGGTTCACAGTCCTACCCCTTGTGGACGACACCCCCAAGCTCCTCAACCAGCATCTTCTATTTTTTTTTAAAGTAAACTACAGCAGAAAAAAGAATGTTTTTTCATTTCAGGGTTGTTAAAGAGAAAAGCATGCCGTGGAGGAGCCAAGCCTAAAATATTTACTCTCTAGCCGTTTATGGAAGGAGTTTGCTGGTTCTTGCTTTACAGGATTATGAGCAACTCTCTAGAGTTGGGCTATTTACTACAGTATCTGTAAAGATAACAGTGAATCACTGTGGCAATAGCTTTGATTTGGATCTTAAAGTCGTGAAAGGAGGCCTCCAACCATGAGGAATGTTTAAATAACAGCTATTGCTGCTGTTCTTTGTGCAGAATACTGAGGAACTGCAGGGAGAATATTTCACAGGAAAGCATTATAAAGAGTGTTGCATTTTTATTCAAAGATACATAAACATTTGAACCAACTATCTGGGGAAAAGTGCTGTTTCAATATTTATCTTACCTCATTTTCAGCATGTAGGAAATGAGATTCAGTGAGCATTTCAGAAATTGAACAACAGTTTCATTATAAAACTGTATTTGTATATTTTTTCATTTAAAGAGAATAAGCTTTATAGTAAACAAGACAGTACATTTGACACTTTAATTGTGGAATTAACTTTGAGCCGACGTTTTATGTAGGAACTAAGGTGTTCATATTGTTACAGCATTTAGATATAAAAACTGTTCTTTGTATTGTCTTTAAGGAGATGCATTTCAATTCTTTGTACTTTTGAGTATGGCTTTGGAATAAATCTGTTACTTTATTTGAGCAGCAGCAGTATTTTCTAGGCATCTGAATGTCAGGTGCTTACGTCTTGACAATATGTAGCTCTTATATTATCTTTAAAAATCCAGCAACTGACTGATGAATTTTGTGTAAGCAAAATTTACACCTCAGAGTTACTTAATAATATATGTTTTAGCGAGCTCTGGTGGCCTAGTGGCAAGAAGCTGCACTGCAATCCCAGAGGTCAGCAGTTCAAATCCACCAAATGCTCTGCTGGAGAAGGAGGGACATTCTCCTCCTGTACCAGTTAGACCAGTCAGATCCGATT